TCTTTGTGGTAAGGTTTACTAAGATTCGTGTAGTCATATAAGGAATATACTCCAAAAAGCGACATCATTAGCGAAGTTGAATCTTTACAGAGGAAGAATGTTGGGAACAATGCTACGAGTGCCGCCTGTGACGCGGCGCCATGGTTGTCTAAATACAAGGTGATTCAGAAGTCAGCAACTCAAGTTCTTCGACCTTCAAAGTCAAACTTCGAAAATGCGTTCAATAAAGTAGATGAGATATTCTTGTGATGCACTGTTTGGAACCTTTGGTGCAGTAATGAATATTACTGAAGTTTTTTTCCAATACAAAACCGTTATTTTAACACCTCAACACGTGTTTCTATCACCAAGTGATCATCTTCAAGAGGGAGATTAAACAGTATAATCTTCCTCTTGAAGATGATCACTTGGTGATCGAAACACGTGTCGAGGTGTTAAAAATAACGATTTGGTGTTGGGAAAAACTCCAGCAATATACATTACTAGACCAAAGGTTCCAAACAGTGCATCATAAGTTCATCTACTTCATTGATGATTTTTTCCTTGTATCTTTGTTTGTTTGAGGGGATCATGACAATTTTACGAATAAAATAGTATAGTAGATATATCCAAATTCTCAACACATATACAGCAAGCGCCAAACGTGATGGCGAGCCCGCTCCTCTGCGCACAAACTCATTTTCAATATAACCTCCCACTACAGCTCTTGCATGACATACAAATGCTCTTCACAGACGCGTATCATTACTTGTCCTCCAATGGTGTTGGCGTTTGGCATTGTCTGAATGATTTGTGTTGTTTTTGAAAAAATATCAACGACTAACCATAAACCACTTATCAAGAGTCAGGCACGTGAAATAGTTTTTAAAGTGTTCAATTATTTTCAAAGTGTGAGTCGGATTCGTTATCAAATGTGAAAAATAAAACAACTCTCGCTACAGGCAACACTGAATTAATTTAAAAAATAACTATTTCAACACGAATCAGAACCACCGAAAGAGTGGGTAAAGAAAGGGAGCAATTAATTTCTGCAAATAACGGAGAAGTAAAATTTTCTAACCCAAGAAAGCAAGAAGTGGCCTAGAAGAGCACCACAACATCTCTTCGATGAATTTGAATAAAATAGGTTCCAAATGGAGAAAGACTGAACATGATAGGAACATTTTAATAGAGAAAATGGACATTAAAGCATTGAGGATCAACTTTTTACAAAACATCAATTATTTTCTTAGCTAACAGCGACCAATTGTGTTTCTTGAGAAAACATACCTTCATAGCGGACATACATCTTTCAAGAACTGAATGGATGAATCAACCAAAAGGTTATTTCAAAAGATTGTGAAGCGACCAAGAATCATTATTGTCCATGCATTATACCTAATTGTTGGCTTTTATTTAAATCAGGCGAAACATCAGGGGATTACCATTCAGAAATGAAGGCTGACATGGTGAAGTGTTTGCACGAAAAAAAGCATTTATGTTCACCCCTAACATGCTCAAACCCGAATTATACCAGTTGATCAAGGTAAGTAAAAAGCATCATATTAGGTATAAATTCGATGAGGTTTTGCTTGAACACGGAGATAACTTTTGCGACCTCCACGCTACCATCCGGATTTGAATCCCATTGAACTCATTTGGGCTACTGTCAAAAACAACGTGTCCCAAAATAAGGTAACATTCAAGTTGGAAGATGTGAGGAAACTGGCGAAGCACGAGTTTGATCAAATCATTTCCGATGAATGACAAAAGCGTTGCCGACATGTGGTAGACATAGAGTGAACATATTGGGAATATAAAACATTCACAGACGTTCAAATGAAGGCAAATCCAGTGATTATAAATTTAAATGACGATAGCAGCACACACACAAACAGCAGTGAAGATGACCAAAATTTGTATTCAGACAGTGACTGTTTAAAGTATATTTTTGGATAATTGTATCATTATATAACATTTTAATGAACTGTACTACTTCCTATAATACTAAATGAAATAGAAAAGGAATTATAAAGAAGTCATGTTCCATTTGCTATCCTAATCAAAACTAATTATAGGTACGATGTGTAATGATGGTTTCATTGGTTATTTCGACACACATGACTAGAAATAGACAAATTTGATAGGATAATTTTTTTGGCAAAAAATTTTCATCATAAGGAGTCAATCAAAAACTGTTGGATTATCCAGTATACCTGTATAGAAATGTGTATACTGAGTTTTGACATTGGAGGAAAGAATTAAAAAAAGACTTATTAGGAAGCCAAATGAACTATTAATAATCATTCCACTCCAGAAAGTGGCTTGAAGTAGAACTCAACATCTGCATGCCATTTATCATTGCAATGACCTTTCCTTGTAGGCCAAATAGTTCGAGAAAGTGTGTGAATGTTCCCATATTTTCACAAACTACGCCTCACGATTTGGTTTCCACAAAATTTATTTGAAAAATATATCACGTTTCGCTAACACAGTAGCTTTGTCAACAGTGATTTGAATACTACAAGTATTCATACACTACAGGTAACCATAATTGAGACTACCTCCAACAAATTACCTAAACCTCTATCTCAGGTACCTCGTCAATTATGATCACCTGAAGCATATTACCTCACTTCTACATCAATAATAATTATTTCTCGGGTTTTCTAAGAAAAGAAAAGAAGAAAGAAAAGTTAAATAATGGTCAAATCTAGTTGGTCATTCATTAGAATGTTTGAATTTTTAAGTTCTTTAAGTTTTTAATTTCCATTGCTATATCTTTGGACACGTTCCACACTTCAATTTATATAGTCCTTATTTCTGGAAAATGGATGTTTTATCTTCATTATTTTTAACTAACTTTCATAACGTATTACTTTTTCTATATGCAATTTCAATACCTCGTTTCCTCAGAATGTCGGAGTCCGTTCAGTGAAGGTCCACATCAAAACTGCGGCTAAACAAAGAATAGCCAATGCATGATGTCAACGCAACTGTTCATAACTTCTTTCAGGGCTAACTGAGGAATTCATCATGTCATACCACGATGGTGGCTCCAACACCTCAATCTACCGTCGATGAGTACTAGGTTTTGAGATCCATGATGTCAGATGCAGGGTTTACAATGAGGTTCCAAAGTCCTTAATTTTTTTTGTCATCAGCATGTCCAGAGTACGTAGTCTCAACCTATATCCATCGGCATAACTTGACTCTACGAGTGTTTTACTGTACTACGGTTTCGATAAGACACCGGACGACGACTCTATTGTGAAGAAAATGTGTCATTTATTTTCCATTATCATACTAATACTAATAAGTTCAATGCAGTCCTCCNAAGAAACAATTGATAACACGTCTAGATTTGCTATCCATATTGACAGTGCTAGGACATAAAATCCCATTAATATCTCATTGAAATATGAACATGAGTAATTGTCATTTATAATTACATCAATATCGCATTATCTCATAAAGTGACTTCGGCTGTTCAGAATGTTTAGAAGACTCGATAATACAGAATCTGACATATGATGAAAAAGATAATAGAGTCCATTGTCAATTACTTTCTTATAGAGAACTTTAATATAGGGAAGTTTAATATATGTTCATCATTATATTATTTAGAGTATCGGTCAAGATATCATGATAACAGAAAAATGAAAAATAGAAGCATTTGTTTGAAAGTGAATGACAGTGTTTCGTGGTAAATTTTACTAGTTCGGACTTTCATTGTCTAATATGATTCGAAAATTATGAAAGAACAAATAAAATTAGAAGGAATAGCTAAAACATTAGGCTATATTAAGCAAGGAAACGTGAAATGAAAATACAATAAAACAAATAAAATAATCAAGATAAAAGATGCAAATAGCCACATACTAAAAAGAATAGAAGAATTTATATGTTCAATTCATTGCTTTTCATTCATTTTTACTGTAAATGATTTGTAATGTTATTGAATGGCAAAAAAAAATCAACAACTCAATAAATTATAGGCCCTGAAGAAGCTTCCCATTAGAGGCGGAAGCTTGGCAAAGTAGAGCAGAGTTTTAGTTAACCAGCTATCGCACCTCTGCGAACGACAACCCTCAGAAGTCGAAAGAAAAGGACTAACGAGGTGTTCACTGGTAAAATTTTTTCCACCGGTACCGGTGGCAATTTAATTACCGCCCATATTAGCGAGAAATTACTTTCGTGTGTGATCTCACATTCCATGCGGAATATTATTTTGTAATTCTACCCCGAAGACAAGTGTGGAATTTTTCAGTGTAATTTTTCATTTTGAGTGTACTTTTGTGTTGAAATAAAACTTTATAGGGTAAATTTGCGATATAAATTTATATCGAGATATTACACTCTTNTGAAGTAATTTTCTTGGTTCGAAATGAAAATTCCGAGGTAAATTTCAATCATTTTTCCCGGTGTTTACCTTTCAACGTGTGATTCCTAACTTTATTGCATATTATGTGCAGTATACATGCATGTTGTATACATAGTATATTTTATGTGCAGTTTACAGGACCTTACAAATGTTTATCTTACTGGACCTGCTCCAGAAATACATTGTATTGACATGGTCTCCACAATTTCATATGTGATATTACTGCAGTTGAAAGAGTACGAATTGAGTTTTTGAAATACTAAGTTTCAAAATGAATATTACAATTGGAAATCCTACTCCTGTTCAAAAAAATCTGTTTTTCGGTTAACCAGCTGTCGCACCCCTACGAACGACAAACTTGTGCGAGCTAAAGATTAACGAGGTCTTACCTTTTAACGTGTGATTCCTATTTGTATACATTTTTTTGTAATGAAGTTCAACTAGTTATATGATAAATGAATAAATGGATTGATGGGTAAATGAACAAATGAATGAGTTGATGAATTTTAGAAGTTTTTTCTTGTTCCAAAGAGATATCCCTTCAAATCAACGATTGTTTGAATTCATATCAAAATTGAAATGGAAACAAAGCCGGAATATGAAAATCAGATAGTTAATTTTTGTTGTAGGATCTCGAAAACTGCTAGATGGTGTGAGTGGAGATTTTTATGGAGGAGAATTGACTGCCCTTGTGGGACCATCAGGAGCTGGGAAAAGCATATTATTGAACGTATTAGCCGGGTTTACGTGAGTAAATACATTTCAAACCAGATATACATGATCTTGATATTGAAGTTCCAAAGTAAGGGTAATAAATTATAACACATTATTATGCAAATGTGTTGTTGAAAATCCAGTTATCTTGGGCGATTATAATTGATTTTTTTTAATCACCGGTGGATCTGTCACAGAAATAATATCGTAAGTTTTCTTCACGCCTTCAATTTTGAATTTAAATATTTCTCAAATTCATGAACGGAACTGAAACATACAAAAAATGTTCCATATATCCTAGAAAATAAGTAGGGAATGGGAAATAATACCAGCGCACAGAACTGGCTGGTATCTCAATCGCCACAAAAGAAATAACCAGGAAAGGAATCTCTGATATCTGATATTGAAAATCTTTGATATTGAAAATTCAATTCTAATATCTGTGTCTACTTCATCAGGTTAGCTCAATTATTTTTGAATATAAGCTTGTGCTATCATATACAAGCAGGAGTATATTACATTTTATATTCCAAAGCGGTATTTCCAGAGTTTTTTTTGATTTTGCGGATGTGTGATAGTTCAATCATCGTGAACATTTGGTTTCATAATCTGACTCTCATAATATTTGCTCTTGATAAGAGATTTCAGCAAAGAGGAAACTTCTGTCATTCACTTCACCCATTTGATTAGATAACAAAGTGAACTATTGGACTTTAACGTCAAGTTTCTCACTATCCTCTAGTCAAATATTTGCATTCCTTTCATCTGCATTATCTGCATGTTGGTATTTTGACATTTAAAACAAAAAAGGGAAACCCTCCAAAATGCTAGTTGTTACTGAAATGTTCAGAGTTGGTTCACCATATAATAGAGGAAGTGTTTATAGAATTCTGGAAAATATCTTTCAGTAAAGAAATTAGGACAATGAAAATCCATGGCGTTGGTCACCTCCTTCGCCAGATTTAACGCAGCTGGAATATTTTTAGGGTTTCATTGAGGACGTCCCTTTTATTCCATTAACGTCTAAGGATACTGAAGGAAAGGATTAAAACTGCAGTGAATTCATTGATTTCTCAGATATTGCAACGAAAAAGGAATATTTTTTGTTGGATATCCACTTTCCAGGTGACATATTATTGATATTGGTTTCTGAAGTGGGGTTTTGCTTCAATTTCTGAAATCTGCCTCAACCAAATATCTTACAAAAACTGCAGTTCTTCCAAAATCAATAAAATGTTCCGATTATCTAAGCATTTTTTCTGCATAAATGCATATTTCTGAAATATATGATCTGTTAAGAACCTGTTTTTCCGTCAATCAGCTGTCGCCTCCCATACGAACGACAACTCTCAGAAGTTGAGAAACTTGTGCGAGCCAAGGACTAACGAGGTCTTACACGGTTGAATGCATTGCTTGAATGCGAATTTAGATGAATGAAAAATAATAAATTTTTGAAATGGGTTTTTTAGAAGCAAGGGTGGAATAAATCTATAATAGTTCACTTGTGATAAATTGAATGTTGATATACCCGAATTATCGTTTTTATCAATCAAATTGAGATGTTCTTTGAAGATTGCCTTGAATTATTTAATATGAAGAAACAATTGATAACTAGGTAACAATTGAAGTTTCAATGATTCACTTGAATTTTCTACATTGATATTTCTTGGATCTATTTTTAACTGATGACATTGAAAAAACAGTAATTGTTTATTTTGGTGATAGGAGAAATTATGATAAGATAAATCAAATTTGTTCATTAATAAACTTGATAATTGAAATGATTGAAAGCCTATCTTGAATATTTCCTTCTGTAGGGTGGTCCAACCAAAACGCAAGATGTTAAAGTGTATATAAAACAAAAATTTTTCAGAGAATTATCATACTATTTTTTATTATGATAGAAGGATCTCTGACAATTATGTGCCAAACAAAATATCGACAAATCCTCTATCCGATAGTCCATATTGTCGATGACTCTGATACATAATTGACTGCCAAATTATCTCATTCTTCAGCTACTGAATTGTTCTTCGATTCTTGACGTACACTTTCACTTTCAAATATTCTCATAGAAAGAAGTCCAACGGTGTCAAATCACATGATCTTGACGGTCAATTAACATTGCCACTACATAAGATTACACGCCCATTGAATTTCTCGCGCAAAAGAACTATTGTTTTGTGGGCTGTGTGGTAAGTGGTACATCTTGTTGGAACCACATATCGTCCAGATCCATATATTCAATTTCTGGCCGCCAGAAGTTCATTTAGCGATAGCGAACACCATTTACGGTAACTGCTTGGCCGACCTCATTTTCGTTGAAGTACAATTCTGTACCTCTCCATGGTTGAATTTGTCTAACAGCGAAACAATGAAATTTCAAATTCCATTAACCAGCTGTCGCACCTCTACGAACGACAACCCTCAGAAGTGAACAATTGACTGCCCTTAATAATTTTAAGGGCAGTCAACATAAGTTTTTCAATATGGATTGTGAATGAAAGATTCAAACTTGAGAAACTTTTGAAGTATCGAACAAAAACGCAATTAATTAATATGGGCAGTCAACATGAGTTTATGAACATGGATTGTAAACCAAAGATTCAAACTCAAGAAAACAATAAAGCATTGAACAAGAAAACACAAGTAATTGATATGGGCAAGTCAAGTCAAAAATGTTTATTCAAAATTTTGGTTAAATTACATGTTTGTGAATGTGCGTTTTGAGAGGGGCCCTGCTATAGAATTATGCCTCTTCAGGAGGGATTGAAAACTAAAGATACAAACATAAAAACATTTGGATGACTCCGAGTATACGAAAAATTATATAATCCTGTGCATGGATTATATAACTCATTCAATCCTTTTTGAATTGATTTTTGAATTTGATTATATTTTAATGCATTATCGCTGTTGATTACAGGGTGGCTGGAACAACCGGTGATAAGTTAGTGAACGAAGAAATCAGAAATGAAGTGTTATTTAGGAGGAAATCCTGCTACATTATGCAAAATGACAATCTCCAGCCCTTGCTCACTGTTGAAGAATCTATGGCAGTGGCAGCCAGTCTAAATATGACTACCAAAGTCAAGCCCGAGGAAAAGCAAATTAAGGTAAAATAACTGGTTTCAGTATAAGTCTGAGAGCCGGTGGAAGGTCAACCTTCACCCATCAACTTTTTAGTAAATATAATTCATTAACAGACATGCCTATCATAACTTGCTTATCAAAAAGTTCATATAGCTACTTTTGATTTAAATAATTTTAATCAACTTTCTGTCACCCTTGATTTTTTTCATGATCGAATGAATTTCATCTCAACTAATAGTTTTTAACACACAGAATATGCCTAGGTAGGTTTGCCTACTTATTTCTGTGCATGCCTAACTGGCAAGCATATATGAACAGGTAAGTCAATTGTAATTAATTGACTTAATTGTAATTAATTGACTTGTTTGTCAATTGTAATTAATTGACTTACTTGTTCACATCTGCTTGCCAAGTAGACGTTCATACAAACTAGGCAAGCCTATCTAGGCATATTCTGCGTGTTAAAAACTGTCAGTTTAGATGAAATTCATTCGGTTATGAAAAGAGTGAAGGTGATGAAAGAAAGTTGATTAAAATTAAACTTTTCGATAGAAATGTTTTTCAATAAATTATACCATTTGATGAAAAATATGTCTCGTCAAGTTATCTGATGGGTGAAGGTCGATTTCCCATGGTCTCCTCTACTATATGGGGTGTTTTTTTTTGATCGATGAAAAGCGTGAAACTCTCGTAGTGCTTCAGGAGTACGGTTTTCAAAACATATAGTGCAAGTTGTTTCAAGATTTTCAGAACTTGCGTTTGATGTTTCAGCAACACGCCTGAAGAAGTTATTGCATAGCGAAACACGTGTTGCGTTCAAACATTTTTTTGTGAATTGGTTGTACTATGGTGGTTGTACTTGTACTATGGTGACGTTAGAAAAATACATCATAGTACAAGATGCGTTATGTGTGATTGTTGACTTGTTTTGTGGTAATTCATGATTACTTTAATGAAATGAATAAAAACACTTTTGTCTAATTACCACTAGTCAATTTTATTTATACGACCGTTTGAGTTTTGTGCTAGGTCTACTGAATTTTGAACTGTGTTGAAAGGATTGTATTTTGTGAGGTCTCTGAATCTTGAATTTGAAAATTTTGACAACTTATTGGTTGGACATCTATATATAAAACTGAGGGTCTAGCTCACATCATATCCCATGATGTGAGAAACAGCATTGTTGATTCCTTCATGACTTCCATGTTTGTTTTATTGTTATACGCTGAAATATTGTTCTTTTACATTTATTTCTCTCATGAATTTATGACTTCACGTCATCACGTCTTAAAGTGATTGTTTTAAATGGTCCTTGTTTCAAGTTTGTATCTTGAGAGAAACCCCATGATTAATTACATTATTTCCTTCTTAGAAAGTTTTCCACATCTTTCGTATTATACTGGAGAAATGAAAGGCCAGAAAGCTTTTGCCCATATGCCATATGTGTAATTTATTTGTTCGAAGCTACTCTGTGGTATTGATGTACTCAGGTATAGCAGAAAATATTTGAATCAGCGATTTGGTTTCACGCTCAATGCTGATTAATATACTAGTCATTGTTTACAACCGATAACAAACATGAATAACGTTTCAAATTACATTATTTTCAGTTTTGATGACTAGCGCCTTCGTGAAAATGATACCGACTGATCGTTTTTGTACAGTTTTGTACAGCTAAATTCTCTTGAGTTCTGACAGTGGAAAAAAAAACGGTGGATGTGGAATCGATTAAAAACCCAATTCATGCAATTTTGTCATTGATTTTATTGATTTGTGATACAGTGAATTGTCTTGATGAAACAGCACTTTCTTTTTCTTCAAATGGGCCCGTTTTTTCGCGATTTCGTCCTTAAAACGTTCCAGTAACGGTATATAATAGTCGCTGTTGATGGTTTTCACCATTTCAAAATAGTTGATGCATATTGGAGAGTGTGTATGAAAGAGCCAGTTTTAAAAAACAAAAAAAGTTGACGTCAGGTGATGGTTATTAAATAAAATTGCATTTTGTAAATAATAAGTTTAATAGTCATGGTTATCCAATCAAAATAAAATAAGATACAATGAAAGAAATTAGTAATATGATAGCAACTTTAATAATAGCTATTTCGCGTAAAAATTATGACATCAATATTACCGTAAAATAATGCTAAATATATGCGTAACAATACAACATATCAATTTTATCAACTCATGCTGCACTTTTCTTTGGAAAACAAATTAAGTCAAGGCAAATAAACATACTTTTTGGTCCTAAAATTTTGATGTGGTCTACCGACGTCATTTGTTTTCGCAGAACTGTCAAATTAAATAATGATAGGATTTTGGTAAGAAGTAGAAATTCACATCAGCCCTTTCAAAGCCTGGCTCTCTCTGGCTCTCTCATACACACTCTACCCTATACTATGCGCATCCCAAAATATTGATACCCATAACTTTGTCAGCCAACTGAAGTTGATTCAACACATGCAGTCCACTCAGATGACTCTCGTTTTGATTCTGGTATGAAATGATAAAGCCATGTTTCATTTATTGTATGTACATATCGACGACTAAATTTGGGTTTTTAATGGTGGAACAGCTTCAAACACTGCTCAGAATCATCAATTCGTTGTTGTTTTTGATCGATTGTGATCTCGCGCGGCACCCACTTCAAACAGAGCTTTTTCATACTCAAATATTCGTGCACGATATGTCCAACACGTTCCTTTATTATCTTTAGAGCTCCAGCTATCTCGATTAACTTCACTTTGCGGCCAGCCAAAATTATTTTGTGAATTTTTGGGATGTTTTCGTCGGCAACAGCCTCTTTGGTTCGTCCACTGCTCATTTCACTGCTCAAACCACTTCCCAACAGTCGATTTTCCTGGTGAAAAAACGAAATGATGTTCATCATGCCAAGAATTAGCTTCAACAGTATTTTTTCTCGTCAAAAAGCAATGCTTTATCAACGCACGAAATTTAAACTAACAAACCTTGCTTCTATCCTACAAACTAATAGTCCAATAGCTGTGAAATGTGTACATGTGTCTTTTGATGGTTAGGGTTAACTAAAAATCATATGGATTCAATACTAGTAGCGTCATCTGTTTGTTAGCCTAAGAACTTTTGAGCCCACCTAGTAGGTACATTTACAGTGAACGTCACGTGAACATTTCATTGTAAGATGTTCACATGCATTCAGATTTTCGTTTTTGTTTTATCTCAGAAGTGTATCGCAAGTTGAAAGTTAAAACCGCCTCGACGTTTCTCGTAAACTTGTGAGAGCTCTTCTTCAGTTATTTCTACATATCTGTTTATCTGGTTTAATGCGTCATCACTAACAACTTTGAAAGTCTAGAACATAGAAGAAAGTTTGGGACACATCAATATCAATATCAACAATGAAATGTTGAATACATTGTAATTGATTTTATTTAATTATTGGTCAGTTCCATCACATAGATTGCATAGTTATCTAAAGATGATTATTAACGAAAATTATATTCGTCTTACAAAATTTACCAATACAGCTTACTGTAACAATTTCACTATTACAGGTCAACAAACGAAGATTTTTATAAAGTATGGACTAGTTACATTCTACTATATTTCACTATCAGTGCAGTAAAATGAAATCTGTTTAAATCTGTTTAGAATCTGTTTTTCCGTTAACCAGCTGTCGCACCCCTACGAACGACAGCCCTCAGAAGTCGAAACTTGTGCTTGTGATTACCGAGGTCTTACCTCGGTACCGTGTGATTCCTACATGAATAAAACGTATTCTATTAACAATCGTCGATGGCAATGCCTGTTCAGGTAAAAAAACAAATATACACAGACTAGTGACTCGCCCCGGCTCCACACGGGTGCAATGCTGAGAAAAGTATACGTATTCTGCTCATATTCAAAAGGTGTTTATAATACAGAAAAGAATTTTAAGATGTATGGTGAGAGCCAACCCTCGAGAGAGCTGTAGAGAAATCTTTGTTCGTTTGAGAATTCTAACTCTTTCATGCTTATATATATATTTAATAACTCTTGAGGTAAAAAAAAGGCACTTCAGCCATGAGAGGGGTTTTTAGCTATTTCGCGTAAAAATTATGACATCAATATTACCGTAAAATAATGCTAAATATATGCGTAACAATACAACATATCAATTTTATCAACTCATGATGCACTTTCCTTTGGAAAACAAATTAAGTCAACGCAGATAAACATACTGTTTGGTCCTAAAATGTTGATGTGGTCTACCGACGCCATTTGTTTTCGCAGAACTGTCAAATTAAATAATGATAGGATTTTGGTAAGAAGTAGAAATTCACATCGGCCCTTTCAAAGCCTGGCTCTTTCATACACACTCTCCCCTATACTATGCGCATCCCAAAATATTGATACCCATAACTTTGCCAGCCAACTTTTGCGTCTTTGCACCATATGGAGTTGATTCAACTCATGCAGTCCACTCAGATGACTCTCGTTTTGATTCTGGTATGAAATGATGGAGCCATGTTTCATTCATTGTAGGTACATATCGACGACTAAATTTGGGTTTTTAATGGTGGAACAGCTTCAAACACTGCTCAGAATCATCAATTCGTTGTTGTTTTTGATCGATATGTCCAACACGTTCTTTTGATATCTTTAGAGCCCCAGCTATCTCGATTAACTTTACTTTGCGGCCAGCCAAAATTATTTTGTGAACTTTTGGGATTTTTTCGTCGGTAACAGCCTCTTTGGGGCATCCATTCATATTTGATTGTATACATTGATTTTCTTTATAAATTGTATAGTTTTCTCCACATTGTTATTCAAAGTAAGTTTTATGTTCTCGCTGATGTTCATTAGTTTTTGTTCTTCATTGTAGTAGGGGCAGAGATATATGATAATTTGGGAGTTTGTTCCTTGAATAAATGTTCATGTGTTATTCTGGTGTGACCAATCCTCAAACGAGTAATTATGATTTGATCTCTTCTGGTTAAGTGTGAGTAGTTCTGTTTGATCAATTCCGGATTCACTTTGAATAATTTACTTGTGGTTTGCTTTCGCCACCTTTCTGTGCAATCCTGCGAAATTTTCGTTCTAATAGAACTATATAAATCTTCATGATGAACTTTATATATGTTTAGCGCTTCAGGGTTCTCAAAGGAGTTACGTTCCACAAAATCTGCCTTTTCGTTACCGAGAATACCAATGTGAGAAGGAACCCATACTACTATTTCCACTGAACGATTGTCATGATATAGTTCTTGAAGATCAACTTTGATTTGAAGGAGAAGCGGATGCTTTGGGTAAAGTTGACGTATCCCCTTGACAGCGCTCAGTGAATCGGTGAAAATAATCATATGCTTGGCTTGATCCAAAGCCTGTGCTAACGCAAATATTTCTCCAGAATATACGCTTCATGTGGAAGGTAGTTTGTAGTATTGACTAAGTTCTTTATTGACTGTGGCAGCTCCTACGCCGTCTATTGTTTTCGATGCATCTGTGTAAATGTGATTGAACTTAGCGTAATCGAGAAATTTCATTTTCAAAATATCCTAATATTGTGTACATTGGTTGAGAAAATTTTGAAAAGCAATACATTGACCTTTCATATGAGTTATATACAGTGTACATATTTCTAGATATTCGTGAGTTCCATCTATTGTATCGGTTGGATAATGATTTCGTTTAGAATTTTCGCTCAGTATTTGTGATTTGACACTTATCATAGTGTTGTAGACGTTTTTTTTGTCAATTTTTGAAATATATTTACCTATTGTCATGAATGAAAGCTATCTTTCCTATTTTGAAAATATGGCTCAGTTTACGTGACAATTGGCAGTTAATGAATACAGAAAGTTTACCATCCGGAACAAACGTGTGCCAAACCAAATCATTATCCGTTTTGGTACTACTTATGGTAATTCTAGAATAGGATCTGGAATAAACAATAAACTTTGTTTCAGATAACTTTCGACCCACATCAGTACCTTCTGACTACCATCCACCATTGCTTCTGCCAAATAAATATTCATTTAAATTACATGCTGTGAAGGGACATATTTATCTATATCGAATGTACATGTTATTTGGAGTATATTACCGGAGTTATGTTCCAACACCAAACCGTTATTTAAACACCTCGACACGTGTTCCGATCACCAAGTGATCATCTTCAAGAGGAGGATTAAACTCAACGTATTATAGGTACCTAATTGGATACGGATTAATGCTGTGTTGCTGAAAATCGCTTGGTAAATAAGCCAATAATAAAAAATGGTTACTGTGGGTTATTTTTAAGAGATAGACATATACCATCGTGGCCTTTTTTGTAGCCTTTTCAATGTGTACAATAATGTAGTAGTTACATCATTTTGATCAAAATGATTGACCGTCTAGGGCCTCCTTAAGGATATATAGGGACAGACAGCGGAAAGCAACTTTGTTTTATACTATGTATTGATGATATAGAATGCTATTTTTTGTAAAAAGGAATCATTTTGAGTGATTTTTGATGGAGAATAAACTGATAGTGTGCCACCAAGAGATAACTATCAACTTTTTCAAATGGGGAGTCTTGTGAAATTTCCTATGGAAGGTTAAAAAAAAAATCTGTTCTTCCGTTAACCAGCTGTCGCACCCCTACGAACGACAACCCTCAGAAGTCGAAACTTGTGCGAGCTAAGGATTAACGAGGTCTTACCTTTTAACGTGTGATTCCTAACACGGGTTGGACGATAGCAAGTGAAGATCGATCGTTCAGACTAGGGCTTGAACCACCGACCAACACGGCAGTCAATTCGAGTGAGTGAACAAAGCACCCACGCCGAACCGCTTGGCTACCGACCGACCAATTCTCTACACAATAAGTAACCTTCACTTTTTTATCTTCGATAACCGATTGCGGAGTTATATATGTTTGAATTTGGGACTGAAAATTTTGTAACTCTATATCTGATTGTTTGGAATAAATGTTCATTGGAAAGAGATATGAATCAGTAACATCATTTGCAATAGATAAGTGTTAACTTCAAGGGCATAAAGCGATATCATTTTACTTTGGCCTTATAATTTTTATCGTTTATATGAAATAATTATTTGAGCAAATTCTCACGAAGTTTTTCGAAAGAAATTTTTTTCTTGAAGGACTCAATGAAGTTAGTAAAAGCATGTTCAATAAACAACCTGTAGATTATTCGGTGCCTATGAATAAAAATTCATGTCAAAGGGTAGAAATATTTTTTTCTAATTTTGCTGTCTCATTTTGTACTTACTTCATAGAAAATAATCTTGGAATGGTGGTTTTCTGATGAAATACAATGCTATTTATTAAAATTTTGGCTGTATGCAACTCTTGACTGAATTGAATAGAATTCACAATGAATCCTCTTTATTTTTTTGCTGAAATTTAACAAACAGAATTAAAATAGCTATGTCATTATTATTGATGTTTGAGCAAGAGTTTTTGTTAAATTTATGAATATTAACAATGGAAATTGTAACCGTGATATACCTATCTCAATGACTTGATTAAATTATTAACATCGACTTATTAATATATTTTGGTGAAATAAGATATGGTAGTTTTCTTTTTCACTTTTTATTTCAAACATTTTTGTAGGGAAACTCTTGGCCATTTGATCTCGCTGAGGAAATCTAATTGAAGCACTAAATGTTTTCCTGCAAGCAAATATTTTTTTCGTCAGGATTCCTCAAAAAACAAAAAACTGTGCTTAGATGAAATAATAGACACTGGAAGAGCGCTGAAATGTTTTTGTTCAATGACAAATGCATGAAAAAAATATTCAGGAATTTTCAAACCCCAGGATTTTTTTCATCTCTATCTAATTGTTTGGTTCGTGATACATTCTGTTGAATAATGAAAATTGAAAATTTTCTTTAGGTGAATAACATAATGAAAACCATGGATTTATGGAAAAACAGAAAAACGAGGGCACAAACTCTGTCAGGTGGTGAAAAAAGAAGGCTCTCTATAGCTATGGAACTCTTGAAAGATCCACAAGTTATGTTTTTTGACGAACCTACAAGGTAAGGGAACTGTTCAAATAATTCTAATGTTGAACTTTTCATGAACTACTACTGTTCATGAAACTTCCAAATATATATGCCATTCCTCAGATATTCAGTATGTATTGTGAAAAATACAAATCTGACAATTCAGGGATTATCATCAATAGCTGTGTTTTTCATTCAAACCTCCAGTCTCCGTTTCCTAATCCCTATTTCTGGAAAACTAAAATTTTTTCTTAGCTTCTCATAATTGTTCCATCTATTTGAGTACATTTTGCTAGCTTCATATAATTGTTTTTCTAATGGAGTATATTTCCCTTCTTTGTTGTTTTTTTATTTCTTTCCACTTTACAAATTTCTCAATTCAGTATCTCCCGATTATTGAATAAGATTAGATTTTCGGTGAGCTAGCCCATGGCCTGATTCACTGCGACCTTTTTCAGATATATTGTGATGCTCCTTGGTTGATAGAGCTCATTGTCTAGCTTGATCTCTTTGATTAGGCTCCATAGCCTTGACACTGATCCTTTCATATAGCTGGCAGCCTCTTTCTCTTTCCCGCATCTTTTCAGGGATTTCAAATCAATTTATATTATATTAGACAATGGAAGTCGGAACTGATGAAATACACCACGAAACATTGTCAACCACCTTCAAACAAACCTGAATTAGGTTTCTTCTGTCAGACCCATGTTGCTCATATATCTCCTGAGTCGGCTATGCCCTGTTAGTAGTCCAACCACAAAACTTACAACCTTTCGGTTGTGGTTTAGCAGGTCTTCCGTGAATCTGGGCGATGGTTTTTTTATGAACTCTTCCGCCTGCCTCATTACTGGGAGCTTATTCCTCCAATCTATCGATTCGGCTTGCATCCATTATTTCATGGATGTCTTTATACATACTTTCACTACCCCGCAGAAGAGTTCTGGGCCGATCATAGCCTTGAAAACGCCTTAACAAGCTAAAACATCGGCCTCCTCATTGCCCTTGTGAACCTCATGTCCGGGTACCCAAGCTAGAGTGACCCTATTTTGGGTACTTAGCGCCTTGAGTGCGCTCCCACCAGTCATGAGATGACTTGAAATGAGCTGAGCGCCTTCTAAGGGTTCTATGTCCGCTACTTCTGCCTGGAACACAGTTGCATCATATCCGAGGCTGAGTGCGATTCTCGTCTTTTCTCTGCTTCCGTATATACCGGCTCCCACTCCTTCTTGGGTATCTGAGCCATCTGTATACCAAGTTTCTTCCGCAATATATGTCTTCTTCAGACAGCTTTCTGCGGAGATCGTCTACTAAGGTTGCCCATAGCAATGGCGATAGTACCCTTGCCCTTGTGGGCATCCCTTCTCTGCTCTTACCTGTATGGTAGCCTCTCCTGTAGTGGTGTTTATCATCCTTCTTTCTAGGCTGGCTTTTATCCATTGACACACGATAGCTAGTACTTCTCTTTTTTCCAGTGCGTCTATAAGTGACTCCGTGGAGACATTATCAAATGCACCTTTGATGTCTACAAAGGCAGCCACTGCCATTTCTTCGTCATCCAGTGAGTTCAATCATTACAAAAACATTACTTCCATCTTCCAAAAGCAGCTTGAACTATTTGCTAGCTTTCTATGATTATCATCTATTTGAGTACTGTTACCTTCCTTTTTGTTTGTTACTCATTTTAGTATCTTCTTCTATAGATTTTTCTATAGGTTATATCGTATTCTCTTTCGGAATCATTACTTCCTTCTTCCGAAGGCAACTGCAAATTTTTCCTAGATTCTCGTGTGTTGTTTTTTCTCTTCATTTCTCTTCTTTGTTATTTTTGTATTTTGGTAACGTTATAAATTACTTATTTTCTGAATTGAAATGAGATTATTTCATTCTTACTTTTGGAAGAGTTTTCAATCATTCAAAAGTCTAAAACTTTTGTTAACATCATTATTTGTTTTCTTGAACATGTTGGTCTCACATTATGTTTCTTAATGTATCTTCTCTTATGTTGTTTGTACTATGTCTGGACTGTTATATGTTGTTAAGTGAGATTATAACAGGACCTATCCAAATACTAGCATTTAAGTTGAAAAGATAACTGTTAACCATGAAACTACATAATCCTTATCTTGAAATTACGTTAGTGTATTGTCATTGGATAAAAATTATAATGAATTTCACGGATACTCATGTATTTGAATTATGAATTATCGAATTATGAAACTGTGATGATTGTGAAACAAACATTTCAGACTAGGTATGGAAAAAACGGAGCAGTAACATTTTGAAAATATTGATGTCTAGAGGGTAATTAGGGATTGAATAACAAATATATGAAACTAGATTCAAAAATATCGGTCTATGTCTTCTCGTGCAATTAGATCATTTGAATATCATATTTTGTACTGAAATATAACTGATATTTTATTTTTTTTTACTTACATAGCTGGTTCAGCTTGAAAAACTGATACTGTTTACAGCGGTTTAGATAGTCTATCGTCAAAACAATGTATTGAATTATTGAAGCAACTAGCTGTGATGGGTCGAACGGTCATATGCAGCATTCACCAACCCAGCGCCACGATTTTTGAGATGTTTGACCATCTTTATATCCTTGCTAAAGGGAAATGTCTCTACCAGGGATCTGTGTCGAATCTACTGCCATATTTACGAGAACTGAACTTCAACTGTCCTACCTTCCACAACCCAGCTGATTATGGTGAGTATGTCATATATGAAAGATAGTGTCGTAGAAGAGACGTATGAATACAGAATTAGGTGAGTTGCGATAAAGANACATTTGTCTCCAGATCTTCCATGATTTCGTGGTCAAAAGTTCTCTCTTCATTGAGACAAGCTTGCCCATGACACAGGCCACAAACTAACAAATACTGCAACGCCGAAATTATGCCCTAATCAAGTTTGAACTTAATAATGAACACCATTGAAATGTTGGTAAGCTGCTGCACTTTTTGGTGAAATATTTGATAACTGCACAGATTCATTAAGTTTTATAGACTTAACGTATTGCGCATAACAAAGATGATTTGAATTCCATTCTCAAATAATCTGTAAATCAGACTGTTTTCTTCATCAAGTTGACCCAAATTCGGCAGTTTCTCAAATGCTTTCAAAAACTTTTTTTTCTCTTTTATCGGGACTACCGGTTGACCTTGGATTATGCTCTAACTGCGCGCTCTCCGTCCTCTATCTTGAAAATCATATAAGGTATAAAAAAATTTGAAACAAAAGTTGTAGGAAATTCGAACCTCTTCAATAGCGGAAACTCATAGGAAACGATATTTTTACAAATTTTTTTCAAAAAATCTATTTTTGTTACCTTTGAACTTAGATCTCAATAGTCGCGTACACCCTACCATATGTAGATTACCATATGTAGGTTTTTCAAAAAACAAGTTTATACGAGTTTATAGCTGGGTATCTCAAATTACGAGATAAGATGACCGAAGCTACATAAATGCTCTCCTCGGGCAGTAGTTTTCTCTTGTCTATTCGATCTCTTTCCACCTATTTTATGTAAGTGAAAAGGGCTTCTCTTAGCAACGATGGAATTATCTTTGAGAAAATTATGTTAGCATCACACACATCTACAACTTTTTCCACTGATGCACCAAAAGTGCATCAGAAGTTCCAAATTAACATTGTCCAATATTATAATGTTTTTTATTTTTCACTGTGGTTCTGGAGTTGAATCTGGCCATTAATACGCATTGGTTAAAGACGAAACAGACAGGTTTAAATTTGACGATAGTCATCTCACTTAGTGTTCTGGCGATGTCTTGAATTTATTGGAGCCTCTGAAGACACCCAACATTTTGTTTTACGAAAGAGAGGACATTGGAAAATCAAGACCTTCAGATCTTGGGTTTTCCTGTAGCTGAAAAAGCAAATGAGCCACTGGAATCACTGAAGTCATTCATAATTTTTTGTCATTTGGAAAGAAAGTATCTGAATCACTACAGCAGTGAAAATTGACTCCATAAATTTCAAGCATACATAGCTTATCTTTCAGAATTGTATCTAGTAAGTATATTTTGCGAATATTGTAATCCAAATTGATGGGTTCCTATGATATTATTTCCTCAGAATTTGCAATTCCCCTTCAAAAGATTTTTTCATTAAGAACGTACAAAATTGTCGAATTTTGGACGATACCAATCCACATGAGAACCAAGATTGCCCGATGCATCCCAAAAAAGTCACTGTTTGGTATGGATTCTGGGAAGACGCGTCATCGGTCCATATTGGCCAGGTCATTACCGTCAACCGCGAGCACTATAGGCCGATAATTAATAACCTTTTTGGTCTGAATTGGATGATCTGGACATTAACGACATTTGGTTTCAACAGGACGGCGCTACGTGTCACACAGCTCATGCCACATTGGATATTCTGCACGAGCCATTTGGGGGCATGTTCATCTCGAGAAAACCCCACAAAAAAAGTCTAAACATGAGATGTAGCTTATTCGCAGGTGTATGCGAATAAGCTACAAACCACAGCTGTCCTTAAAGCTGACATAACTCATGCTCTCCCCGTGGGTTGGGCTACCTATCGGACGCGTCCCAACGTAGCAGATAGGGGAACGGCCAGGGGACTGGAGGCTCTGTCTTGGAAGCCAATGTGGCCTTACGGACGGGGTCGTCGGACTCCTGGTCAGTGGCAGAAATAATTAGGGTGAGGGGAACTGAAACTCCCCAAAAGCCTTTGAAAAACATGCCACCGTAGACTAGCCTACCCAAGCTAAGGTGTAAGGAATCGTGCCGACAGCTGAATGGCCGCAGGGTGATATGCGATGACGAATGATCTCCTTGGAGAACTGGGTGAAACCTCATTGTAATTAGCCTACCTCTGATAATGCGGGGCTTTGCCAGAGGTGACCAACTCATCCCTTGCTACTCGTGGGAACACACATGAATATAACAAACACAAAACAGAAATAAGGAAAGCAAAAACCAATCCCGAGGCTGGACAGAAGTGCTCACCTCAATCTAAGGCGGTGGCTGGGGATGAACAGAAATATCCACCTCAATCTACCGCTTGAAATGAGGCTGGACAAAGCAGATCACCTCGTGATGTAATACAAAGGCCAAGGCGTCGGCGTATTTGCGGCGCCAAGGCCAGAAGGAGAAAGAGAGCGAAAGAGGCAGGAGTGGCAGCAACTAAAAGTGCACCCTTCTCCCACTCCACCTCCAGCAGCAAGGGCACTTTCTGCGGCGGGTGCCAAGAGCTGCTTGAATAAAAGTAAGGAACCGGCTGCCCCTGTAGAAAAGCTCCCTCAATTGTGCACCTCCATGGAGAGAACCTCAAGAAGGTTGAAGAAGCCGCGCAACGACAGTAATGTCGCAGCACCTTCCAAAACCTTCCCGGAGGCCACTGTGAGACACCTCAAGGTTGCCAAAAAGAGTATGTGTTCCGCGAGTCTTGGCCTACACCTAACAATATAAAGGAGATGTCTCCTAGTGACCTGTTCACCTTCCTGGAAAGGACAGGATGGACGATGACTTAGAAGGACAACTCTTCGAGAGGATGTACCATGGGTCACATGTGGCCTAAGTGCTGTGGGTCTACACACACCCTCTCTAATCTACAGATACCAGATCCCATGCGGTCGGTCAAATATCAGCCTTCTTTATGAGTCAGGGTCATGGAATTTTGGACTGAACGATGTTATATTCCACATAAAATGTCATCAATAGGTCTTTCAAAAAATGGAATGAAGTTTTTCTACAACTTAGAAACACAACAATAGCATGGAATATTTTGATGTAGTCTTGTTTTTGTTTTACTTCCGCCATACACATTGTCCCTATTTTTCATCTCTGACGCTTCATTTCCATTGCATTTTCACAATATATCAGTTTTTCACCATAATATTTCTATTGATGAAACAAATGTACTCAGTTCGAGGGGTCACATGAAAAATATTGATGTGACCAATCACCGAAGTATGTTAGGTTAGGTCCAAAGTGATTGGGTCTATTCGCCCCTCCACCAAAGTATGTACTAACCTTCGAAATCTGAAACAATTTTTTCAGTTATAGAAGTTGCCTCGATGGAACATGGTGGTAACTTGGACGATCTCACTGCTAAATCAGAAAATGGGTGCAGTCACCAATGGAGGACAAGAGTGCCATTTCCTGGAAAATTCGGTAATTATTTTTTCTTCAGTTCCTGACTTTGTTCCCAAGTTTTGATCTACCCAATATCAGAAATGATACTTTGTTCCATTTATTTTTTAAAATCGAGAAATTTCATTTTCAAAATATTCTCATATCGTGTATATTGGATGAGATAATTTTGAAAAGCAATACATTGACTTTTCTCATGAGTTATATACAGTGTACATATTTCTAGATGTTCGTGAGTTCAATCTATTGTATCGGTTGGATAATGATTTCGTTTAGAATTTTCGCTCAGTATTTGTGATTTGACACTTATCATAGTGTTGTAGACGTTTTTTTTTGTAAATTTTTGAAATCTATTCACCTACTGTCATGAATGAAAGCTATCTTTCCTATTTTGAAAATATGGCTCAGTTTACGTGACAATTGGATGTTAATGAATACAGAAAGTTTACCATCCGGAACAAACGTGTGCCAAACCAAATGATTATCCGTTATAGTACTACTTTTGATAATTCTGGAATAGGATCTGGAATAAACAATAAACTTTGTTTCAGATAACTTTCGACCCACATCAGTACCTTCTGACTACCATCCACCATTGCTTCTGCCAAAAATAGCAAACGTTAAAGTAACTGACTGTGATACCGTTGAAGAATCCTTCAATCAGCGTTGCTATGGTTCTTATCCTACCTCGTTCTGCAACCAACTTAGTGTATTATTGAAAAGGACTGCCCTCATTCTGAGTAGGGATAAAACGTTGACACTCTCTAGGTTTTTCACCCATACCGCGATAGCTTTATTTATAGGTATTCTGTACTTTGGAATTGGAGTAGACGCCTCCAATATGCTGAACAATTTCAATTTTTTGTTCTTCACCGTCATGTTCCTCATGATGACAGCTTTCAACTGCATCACCACAACATGTAAGTTGTCGAAATATTGTGATTTTTTGTATAGCACATTTTGTACATATTTTTAAAAACTGTGTTAGGAGGAAATCATTCAGCTCATTGAAATGACCAACATTGACTGAGACTTTTATAAGATGATGGAAATTTAGAAGCAAACAACTTCAGGAAAATCTTCATTGTACTCTGATTGAGGTTAGGTTAGGTTAGGTCTAAAATGAGTGGGTCTATTCGACCCTACACCGCAACCTGTAAGGGTTTATTAAGGCTCACATCTATTCACACTCGGCCAAATAAACCCAGCTTCTCAACGAAGCCGATGAGTTTGTATGGTGAGTGGTCTTTCAGATCAGATGGTAAGAATACGGCTCTGCCGAACTCTAAGAACCTGATTCAGTCCCCAGCGGAGCAGGCACAAAGTATATCTATCCTTCGCTGTTCCATCATTTTCCAAACAGAGGCGACACACACTGTCTTCCGACAGTCCAAGTCTCTGCATATGATGATTCAAATGACAGTGACCTGTAAGAAGGCCTATTAGACATCGAAGTTCATCCCTACTGTAGTCCAATATCTGTTTGGTATCAAGCTTCGAAGGGTGAATAATCACCTTGGAGTGAGCCAATCCTGGAATATTTTGCCAGAAGTCCATAAATCTTCTTGCAATCTTCTTGCAGATGTTCAAAGTTTGTTTGGCAAAGCCTAAACCGATGCCAATGACAGATTCTGTTCCGATGAAACTGCTTGCAGGACCCTCCTGGCCGTCAGCAGCTTCGTTGCCTTCCAGGCCAGTATGGCCAGGAATCCAGACCAGAGACAATCTGTTGAGTCTTCCTATCGAGAAGAGTTGATTTTGGCCATTTGCTACCAATTTAGACGTTGCTCGGTAGGAGCCAAGAGCTACCAACGCCGCTTGACTGTCCGGGAATATTTTATTGACTTGTGTGTGAGGTTGGATTTATCCAATCTCTCCGCACATAATTCAATAACGTAAATATCCACTCAAAATACAGTCGTATGAGTTCCTATGCAGGTAGATATCTCTATCCTGGGTCTGCGACTAAAAACACTTTTTCCCGGAGGATCCAGTCCTCTCTACTCGGGAATAGTACTTCATAAGGCAGTTCGTAGTTGACAGTTGGAGGCATAAAGCCAGAGGGCATTTCCAGAATGCTGTGACTTCCAGTGTCATCCAGTGTCATCCAGTGCATCTAGCCTCTCTTGGAAAATGTAGAGAGGAGGTAGATCTAGAAGGATATCAATGGCCGTTGACGGTGTGATACTGATGGTACCACTGATAGGCAGACAAACCTGTCTTTGTAAGCCAGAGAGCTTCGCTTGGGCCGTTTTCTGTAAAGTCTCCGGGCATCAGGCAATTGCACCTTGACTCATTGGTCTAACAGTCATCACATGAATCCAGTGAATTTGTTTGGGACCTAAACCCCAAGATTAAGGTGCTTAAATGAGCAGTTTCACAGACACGTCTGAAGAAGCTATTTAAAGGCGAAACACGTGTTGCGTTTTTGTGAAACTGTTCAGTGAAAATCACACAATAAAGTGTTTCTTGAAGAAGTTATGTATCTCTACAAAAAATGACTTGAATCATTTACTCGTCAGAAAAAAGTTACCCGGTACTATTTTCAATCTAGAAAATTTTTAATGAAACAAAATTTTAATGAAGAAAACATAATTGGAACTTTCTATGTTTTTTACCACTTTAATTCATAACTTTACTGCAGTTTATTAATAATAATAATAAATTGTTTATTGTTTGCCGATTCTTCCACACTTCCATTCCTATGAGGACATTTTCAAACTTATACATTAAACTAACAATGGTTGATTACATTATCCCTTATGTAGCACCCCTGTAGGTAATAATAGAGGTACTTGGCTTGATTGAGTACCTGAATTTTGTTTACTAGATACAATGCGGATATGCTAATTTGAGGAAACTGCAGTAACGTTAGTTACAAATAAAAGTGGTAAAAAACATAGAAAGATTTAATTCATTTTTCTTCATTATAATTGCCTACCACGTAGTAACGGCTACATCTATCAATTTATTGGAAATAATTATATTTTGGTTTTCTCAACTTTGTGAGTAATTCGTGCAGACCAAAATTTTCAATCATTTTATTATTTCCGTTGGTCTCTACTAATTTCTGTTCATTCATTTTTTTTTATCATCATCAACAGTGGAAATTCAAGAATACGAAGTTTACCAAAAAATGAATTCAAGCGCTCAATTTTCAGAATAGTGAGCAAAAAGATATTCAGAAATATAACGATTTTACATTGTCTTTTTTATATATTATCATTTCGTATTTTATTAGGTTGTTTCAAAAAATATGTCCATTTTAATGTCATTTGTTTTTGTGGTTAGCCCACGATTTGAACGATCGACAGAAATCGTCACTTTTGGAGCTCTGTTCTTCTTTAATTTGGCGCAGCCAGAACTATCTTTTATTGGACCGTCGGATGTGTTTGAACCGTCACGTCTACGACAACAGAAGACGTTCATGACAGTGGTTGGATACCGATGAGCCGTCCAGGTACTTCGCAAATGCGAAAACCCACCAGAAAAAGACCATGGTTTCTGTATGGTGGTCATCGGCTGGTGTGATTTACTATAAATTTCTGCCACCAGACCAAACCATCACAGCAGACGAAATATACTTGAAATTATATCAGCAGCAGTCGGCACTGGTCAACACAAGAGGTCTGATCCTGTTCCATGACAATGTCCGTCCGCATGTTTCACAAATCCCCGCCCGAAAATCAAATAAAATGTGCGTCGAAGTTCTTCCTCACCCATCATACTCGCCAGACCTTCCACCAACCACCAACTACCATCTTTTTAAGCAATTTGATAACTTTCCCACCGGGGGGATCTTCGCCAATCAGGAGTAGGTAAAAACGGCCTTCATCGACTTCATTTAATCCGAAGCATACCATAAAAACGGACAAAACTTTTGAAACAACCTGATAGTAAGCTTTTTATGTTTCTCGGATAATAAATATATGATGATATTGGCCGAAACTTGATGAAAGTTCATAACTAACGTATTCAAAAAACACTTTTTGAACACGTTAGATAATAAATTGTCGTTTCTTATAATATTATGAAAAACTAAACCCCACCAGAAATGATACTGTTTCCACCATTACAACTGCTATTCAAACATTAACCTCACTTTCATTTCAGTTCCATCCGAATTGCCGATAATCACCAGAGAGCATTTTAACAACTGGTATTCTCTGAAGTCATATTATTTGGCCATATCCATAGCTGACATTCCCGTCCAGGTAAATCTCATACACCATATACACAAAATAATCTCCCAACCGAATAAATATTCCTTGCAATTAGTTTCAAAGTTATCTAATTATTTGTAATAAATCACAAATAGAAAATTTTGTTTTTCAGATAGTAGCCACATTAATCTATGGACTCGTTACTTACTTCCTGACAAAACAACCGATGGAAAGCTACCGACTATTCTTGTTTTTATTTATGTGTATTCTAATATCCCTTGTTGCTCAAAGTTTCGGACTCCTGATAGGTGCCAGTATGGACATTAAAGTAAGTACTCGTAGAACGAATTTCTCACAGGTCGCCTCAAAATTAAAAAAATAACAAAAATACATTTACCAAATTATTTTTCAAAAAGTTGTTATCAAAAATGTATTCAAAAAAGGAAATAACTTTTTTAAAGTTGTCAGCTAACGATAATGAGTGACGATCCCTCTCATCTTTCCAAGGTGAAAATTTCATATGCCAACCTTCCATTTTTTTGTGATAATAAAAAACTGCAAATGTTCCATGACAGATTCTCTAAATATTCAAGTTAATTGCTCTGAATTGATTAATAATATGACAAACGAAGTACATTCACTGTGGAAGTGAAAACTTTTTGGAAGATACTTTTATATTCTTCATCAATTTCGTCTTCATAATGACGAGTGTTAACTTCGTTTTACCAATAATGTCCTCATATTATATCTTTGTTACATAAACGTCAAAACGTAATAGCCACCTTTCCATTGAATGATGCAAATTGAATGATAATTTTTGCACGTCACAATACTCGAAACACAATACGAAACATGTGTCGCAGTTCTGTAAACTTTCAAGTAGGAATCTCACATTAACGTGTTTTTTTAATCCATTACAATGGTTTTGTATCTGAAGAGTAGGGAGGGTGAGTGAAGACCCACAGCACTTAGGCCACGTGTGTACCATTGTGCGTCCTCCCGAGGAGTAGTCCTCCTAGGTTATCGTCCATCCTGTCCCTTCCAGGAAGGTGAACAGGTCATTAGTAGACATCTTCTTCATATCGGCAGGTGAATGCCAAGACTCGCCAAACACACACTCTCGTTGGCAACCTTAAGGTGTCTCACGGCGGCCTTCGTGGAGGTTTTGGAAAGTGCAGCGACAATACTGTCGTCGCACGGCTTCTTCAGTCTTCTTGGGATTCCCTCCGTGGAGGTGCACAAGTGAGGGAGCTTTCCTGCAGGGGCAGCCGGTTCCTTGCCTTTATTCAAGGCGGAAGGAACTCTTGGCGCCCGTCCCACTTACGCCTTGGCCTTTGTATAACATCACGAGGTGATCTGCTATATCCAGCTTCATTCCAAGTAGTAGATTGGGGTGGACATTTCTGTTCATCCCCAGCCACCGGCACCGCCTTAGATTGAGGTGAGCACTTCTGTCCAGCCTCGGGATTGGTTTTGTTTTCGTTATTTCTGTTTTGAGTTTGTTCCATTCATGTGTGTTCTCACGAGTAGCAGGGGAAGAGTTGATCACTCTGGCAGAGTCCCGCATTACCAGAGGGAGGCTGGTTCCTCAAAGGAATCGTTCGTAACCGCATACCACCCTGCGGTTATTCAGCTGTCGGCACGATTCCTTTCACCTTAGCTTGGGTAGCCTGGTACACGGTGACATGTTTCGCAAAGCCTTTTTGGGAGGTTTGGTTCCCCTCACTTATTTCTGCCACTGACCAGGTGTCCAGCGACCCCGTCCGTAAGGCCACATTGGCTTCCCGGACAGGGCTCCCAGTCGCCTGGCCGTTTCCCTATCCGCTACCTGGGGACGCGCCCGATAGATAGCCCAACCCATGGGATTACGATGGTTTAATGTTCGATTGAAAAATTAAAAATCTCGTCAAATATTTCAGAATATAAACAAGTGCAATGTGCTTTGAGAACAGTTTCTTTTTTTTTCTGGATGAGTTATTGCAACTCTACACATAGCAACGCTGTTGAAGAAATGACTGTGTAATCGTTTTTTAAAGGATTACGAATATCACCAGTTCATACTGACATTGTTGTTTCTGAGTAATATTTTTTGAAATGCAGACTTTCAAGCTATATTTGGATTATATATAGTGAGAGAAATAATAGAGAGTGCTACTGGTGCTTCGGGTGATGACTGGACACTGGACTATTTATTAGTGTCATCTTCGTTTTCATCAGGTTTGAGCCCAGCTCCCTTACCGTTTCAGTTGATTTTCGTGAGAAAGACAAATAGGTTCATGACTTAGGAGATGTTGACGGCATGAAAAGTCCTCGGACATCAGTACCGCCCTTCACGGGGTACCCCTATCTGGCTGGGGTGGGATGGATGAAACATCTGTTCATCCGTTAACGGGGGACATGATTGCCTCATTCGACAGAGTGTCGGTGCCTTCTTTATCGGGAGGGGTGGTATACCGCATAATCTATAGTTTCCCTAACTGAACTGGACTGTTTTTCCGTGAGATGACTATTTATAGGTCATTCAAGCGCTTTCACCTATCACCGCTTTCCTCTCTCTGCTACACTGGTTTGAGGGAATTGGCCATTCAGCTGGACGCTTGATTACAGGTTTCTATATGTTTCGTATTTCTACGCTAGCTTGGACACCATGGTATTTGCAGCTGCTTTTAACTTCCTCTCAAACCATTGTTCCTCCATATAGATGATCTCAGCTTGGGGCCACTCGATGTTATGTTGATGAGTCCAAACATGCTCTAATATTCCTGATTTGCTGGTTTCTCTTTGCTGTGTATTTTTCTTACAGGGTACTCGGTAAATGCAATTCTTAGAATTGCAGTCCGCATTTGGTGGCCTGGTTTTCGTTAGGCTGCTATGGATGGAATTTCCGAATCTGAAGCAGATTTTGATGCTGCACTTGGATCAAATTCTTCCTATACTTTTCTATAATTCTCTGACGTAGGAAAGGGTAAGCACTAGTTGTGACGGTTTGTCTTCCTTGCGAGGCTCTTACAAAGCCCGAAAGCACAATCCAATCCAATTTTTTGGTAGATTGACGGTGGTTGGAATCGTGATTCAGAGACTGTTCCGTGTGAGTGTGTTTTCGGAATACAGATGTTTCCCACTTAGTGCTGGTCCTCTTCACCAATATGCCTAAGAATGGCAATTCGTTGTGAACTTTTTTTTCATTATGAACGTGATGGAAAATTTTACGGTATTGATGTGCTTTAGAAAGGTATCTAATTCTGTCTTTCTATGGTTTCATACTATGAAGGGGACTTCTTGTGAGCTTCTTCAATTGCCACGGTTTCACACCACTCCATACATGTCTTGGCTATAACTGGTGATTCCATTGACAGTTCCTCATTTGCGTAAAGAATTCGTCCTTCTGTTGGAAATACCAGAACCGTACACAGCATCCTAGTAATTTCATTTCTTTTATAGGTAAGTTCTTACTATCTTCCAGGTCGTCTTCGGATAGCCTCCTCTGTTGATGTTCTTCAGAAAGGTGTCTAGTTATGTATTCCTATTGTTCCATACTGGGAAGGTGTCGTCAATTTGTCTTCACGTTTGTGAGCAATTTGATTATTCTAACCAAAAATGCAGCATTTTCAGGTGACTACCAACGCATCAAAGTTTGGTGCTCATTGACGTTACAGTGGGTATTGAATTGCTATAAACAATCATTTGTATGATGAAGACCCCATAGGTCGTCATTCATTAGAGCTGATTTTGAATGAATATTTCAAAAATTGAATTCATAATAAGACATCCAGTGAATTAGATACACCAAATGTTGCTATTCATATTGTCAATAGGCTATTATGAAATTACTTTTTTTAAAAAGCCGACATACGAATTCCAGTTTGTATCTGGAAGCTGCTTTTTGCATGATCTACACATCCATGTATAGAGTTACTTATTTTCAAATTGATTACTTCCTTCCTTTTAAAATATAACCCCTTCAATTAAAATAAAAGTGTGATTTTGTCTCATTAAAACTTTTGAACCGGGACGTTGTTTTACTGTTCTTTTTCACTTTTTAGTTAGTTATCTGTTCAATAAAACTCACTTGTATTAAAGGTGCAGTGTATTCTTCTACACCTTACACTGTTACGAAAACAAATATTTTTTCAAAATCGAGAGAATTGAGAATTCAATGAACATAATCAATCTTTCAAAAAGCAATAGAAAAGTATATCTTTCTGAAGCTTAACCTTATTATTTATGTAACCATCACATTATTCTTCTGTAGTGTTTCCATTTCATGATACCAAATGTCATTTTTTATATGTATTATGATGAAAAAATTCTGAGATTAGTATCTAGATCAGCAGTTGCCTCTCAGAAAAGTGTTGTTTTCAGTCATTATTAATTGAATTTTCAATAGACTCATTATTGATTATATATTTAATGAAAATATCACAACTCATCAATACAGTTAATTATATGATTTTCACTATAAAGAGTTTTACAAAAACCGCGACACGTGTTTCGCTGTACAATAATTTATTTTTGTAGTGCCAATAGCACAAGGTTTCTTGACTATGTTCACGGTGAAATAACTAAAAACCTCCCCAAATTACAAAGTTGAACTTATTTTTTTTTCAGAACGGAGTCATATTTGGACCATTTTGCTTCCTGCCATTCACCATATTCTCTGGTTTCTTCGTCCAACTGAACGATGCTCCCGTTCACATCAGGTGGATCTTTCACATATCCTACTTGAAGTATGGTTTCGAGGGGTTAGTGCTATCCGTCCTCAGTTACGACAGAGGAAAGTTCCCCTGTGAAACCGATTACTGCCAGTTTGTATATCCGGAACATTTCTTGGAAGAAATGGATATGGATTCCTCACATTATTCTACAGCTGTTATATTTTTATTGTGCTTAACTGTGGTTTTGAGGACGTGCGCCTTCATTGCGCTCTGTTTACAAATCAGATACAACAGACAGCATCGCAGGTAGTGATGGTTGTAGAGGTATTATTTATGTGATAGACAATGGTCTGTGAATTCTCTGCGTGGAGTGGCACACACGGGGATCTGCGCAGCCTTAGATTTAAGACACAAGATACTATGTTAAGTTTGACGCAACAGTATATGTACAATATAGATAGAGTAGAGAAAAAGTGTGATGAGAATCAAGGAATATTTCAATTGGAGACATTTGAATCGTCAGTATTACCAAGGTAGAAAAAAAAACATGTGACATCATTCACTTCTAAATCATGCAGATCCTGTTTTGAATTGCCTTCAAATGAAAAGTCAATATTGTTATTGTTGTGGAAAATACTAAAAAGAGCTATAAAAATGTGAAAAAATTTCAATTATCTCGATAGTATTTTTGAGTACTTTCAAGCAAGTTGCTACGTGTAAACTTGACTAAATGAAACTTTTCGTACTATATCAAGACCTGACAGATTTTGCACAATGATTTTGCAATAAAAATTTTGAAATGGTTCTCACATTTGTGAAATTATGCGGAACCGAAACATGAGCTCTATTGTACATATTCAAAATTTTTATTGTTGATGTTATAGTATTTCCAATTATCAGGCCAGTCTCAACTCACCTACACTGTAGGTTAATGAACTGACTCCCATCAGAAAACAACTACTCCCCTGGCAGATACCACGAAGAGTGTTAGATTATATCCGACGGGTGTCAGTGCAGGGTTCTTCACATAAGTAATTCCTGCATATGTTGTTGGCGATACAACTGCCGGAATCAATTTTCAATTATTGGAACATACTTTCAGACCGATTTCGGGCTATTCGGCCTCTCATCAGTGCAACATGAAGTCGATGATTTTCCATAATTGAAAATTGAATTCCTTCCAAAATATCATAACTCAAACTAGGTTGAAGTGAACGACAAACAACATATTTGTCATCGCCCCCGCTGCCCGTGAACGAGGTAACCAATCGCATATCCGAATCGCCAAGTTCCTCGGATAAGAAATGACGTATGCCCCTTTTCATATGTGAAAGTAATAGTTTTTAATTATTATTGTAATCTGTATTTCCATTTATGGAAAACTTCTGGAAACTTTACCGTATTCCAGCTATGCCCCCTTACTCTATGTGGAAGTAATAGTTTTTAATTATATTATTGTAATCTGTATCTCCATATATGGAAAACTTCTGAAAACTTTACCGTATTCCAGCGAAAATTGAATAATAACAGTTGAATGCAGTCTCAGAAATGTCCAGTTGAATATTCATAGTTCTTGAAACTTGACAAGCTATCTTTTCACTACTAATTTTTTTGAATACAATTATCGTTTCTGGAAGTCTTGCATATTTTATGGAGCACAGATCAGTTTTTAGAAACGAATATTTATGACAATAGTGTTTATATTGTTTTTTCAATATTAATATTCATCCAATTTCATATTCACAGTCATCTCCATTGGAACACTTAATTGTATCAGAATGGGAATGATTAAGAATACCTAGAACTAGAAAGAAATCCGAAATCAAATACGAATTGATATTGTTCAAAAATGTTTTACGCTGTTTCGGAAGTGACAATATCCAGTAATTTTTCATGATATCCCTCTGTAATGTGTTCACATCCACAGTGACTATAAATAACCTATAATATAATCTGAATTTCATTCCTGGATACATATGATTGAGTTGACTGATGGACTTGACAATGACTTGAAAATTCATTATTGTGCTGGAACACAAGTAAAACTTAAGTAAATCACTTACATTATCAATCCTTTTTTTCTTTGGGATGGTAAGATGGAAAATTTATAATTCACTACGCCTCAAATGTTTCTAAATTCAAACTTCCAACCATTCCATTTCTTCCAGTATAAGGTGCAACCTCAGTAACAATTTATTTCTTTATATCTTAATGTATACACCTTATTCAAAAGTTTAGGTATTATAATTTAACAGTTTTATGCAACTTTGTATATTTTCATTTTATTGAACCAAATACGATGAATATATAACCGATATTTGTTGTTCTGTGATATTAAGTAATCATAGAATATCTGGTGCTCCCTTCATATGCCCTGGATATGCCGTTTTATATTCTGTTTCATTACTTTTGTCAATGAACTTAGCTCCAGAAATGATTGAGTGCCTTATCAGACTGTTTTTTTTGCCATGAAAGTCTGATTTCTTTTGATAAACCTGTATATAAAAAAAAACTCAAGTATACTATTGTTATCTACTGTTATTTCCAATAAAATATTCATGAACTTAGAAGGTCTTTACTATCAAACCTTTATATTTCCACAATGTGCAGGAAAGAGGTTCGAACTCTCAAAACTATTTACGGGATTCCGAAAAAAAAAAGAATTTCGAATAATAGTATCTCAACAGACTCGTATCGTTCTATAAAAAGTATAACCTACTCGCAAAGAGCCAATATGGATTCCAATCTGGTTTATCAACCCAAGATGCTACTCTTTCTCTGGTCAACCATGTTTTATCCAAATTTGAAAATGGTGAAAAATCGATCAGTATACTATTTGATTTGTCACGTGTATTTGATACCATCAACCATCAACTTCTCCTCGATACACTTTATAACATTGTAGTTCGCGGCCAAAGTTCAAAATGGATTAAGACTTATCTGACTGGCAGATCACAATCTGTTAAGGTTATGCTCAAATTTAGATGTATCACATCTTAACAGGTGTTCCCCAAAGTAGTGTCCTACTCTCTTTCTCTTATATATACTATACAGTTTACTAACGACACGTCCTTCTTATTGAGTTCTTTTTTTTGTGAAGGGTTATCTGACCAGGCTGATGTTGCAGTTGCTAATATGCATAATTACAGCGCCAGAAACTACCTCGTTCTAAATAGCAATAAATCAAATACCATTGTTTTTCCGCTCAGAGAAGTGGACTGCGGTATATTGTTTAGAGCTAATACTAAATCTATTGTGTAGAAAAAATCAGTCAAGTTCTTAGGGTTGAGCATTGCCTCCAAATTATCCTGGAATGATCATATTGCAAGCATTGTTTAGTTTTTTGGAATCTCAGAAATTCTGTCCCCATTAATATCTTATTAAGTTACAACTATGCCTATGTTCACTCAAGTCTAAATTATTGCCTGGTGAGTGGTCTTTCAGGTCAGATGGTAAGAGTACGGCTCTGCCGAACTTTAAGAAACCTGATTCAGTCTCCAGCGGGGCAGGCACAAAGTATATGCTCTGCTGTTTCATCGTTAATGAGGTAGTCGGATAGTCAAGGTGCAAGATTTCCACCTTGATACCCGCAACAACCTTTCCATATGAGGTTTTTTGCACATCAGCTACACCTGACGATGCCTTAGATTCAATCGTGTAGGGCTTTTTTGCCTCTGGTTTTGGTGAATCATCATTTGAGCGCAAACGTTTGCTAACCTGCTCATGGGGGTTTGTTCTCCCCCCACCCTGAGACAGATTCTGCGTACGCCGCTCAAGAATTTGGTGTAAGGCGGTTTCATAAGGTACCCCGCTCTTGAAGAGACGACTCAGTCGTTTCCTGCCTACATCACCAAACCTTTTTTTAGGTTCAGTTATTGAATCAGGAGTTGGGGAGTTGAGAAGCTCTCGCTCCTAAACTAAATTTACCGGGAGGTCAGTTGGAGTCGTAAGCTCGACATCCATCTCCTCTGTAGACTCAGCGTCAGAAAGGATTTTTGAGTGTACTCTGTCCATAAGAGTCTCACGAGTAGCTAGGGAAAGAAGATCAATCACGACAGAGCCCCGCATTACTGTGACAAGGCGATGCTACGACGAGAAGGCGTCAGGTATCTCGAAGATTCCGTGGAGACAGCTGATAGGCTCAGTGTTATTCATCCTCTCGGTACGGATACACACACCTTACGATTAAGCCATCGTTGAGATGCCATTCAGTTAGGGGATAACAGAACCACAAGTGATTCAGACATTCTCGTATCCAGCGGGGTCGTGAAAGCAGGCATCCGATGGCCGGTTTGCTAAACCACCCCCACATCCCAAGCCATGGGATTTGCCTAACAGTAATTTATTTTGTTGATTTGCTTCTTCATTATTATTGACAAACCTCTGCCAAGCATAGGAAATGTTTCATGGCTCATTGTCTGCATCAACTGAGGTTGAGACCTTATACTTTCAAATCTAATGAACTCCAAAAACAAATTTCTGCTCCAAAAAACTACTCCCAAACACCAGAACTGTAACACTTTCCTAAAAGTGGGGAAGTTGGCTGATTGATCTACTTTGTGGTTGGTGAAATGCTCGTCGAGAAAAGTGTTGCAATTCAATTCTGGTGTTTTTGGAAAGTGTTATTCATGGACTTATTGAACGCTTGCGGTTCGACTTCTACCTTCACAACTTTTTTTCTGTAATGCAGTCGAATTGTTGTACATTTTGTTAGCGAGACTGTGAATAGTATCATTCTGCTCGATCCAACAAACGAACATATCGATCATTAAACGTGAAACAGAGAGATAATTCAGATCTACATATCACAGTAGTGGGCTATAATTAATTTTGTCAATTATAGTTTCATCTTTGATAGCAATCGATGATAATGGTGATATGCACGACGTCTGCGGAAATTTTCATACGATTCTCTCTGCAAATGCTCATACTTTATTTATTAAACCAAAGAAATGAGCTGATTGTTTTATGAACTATAAAATAATTTAGAGGATTGCAGCTACGTAAATCATTTATGTGATAATTACTCTTTATCTTTGCCATTTATGTTTTCAGGAGATTGTTCACCATTAAAACGAAACCATTAAAACGAAATGCAGTGACAAATTTGAATTTTGTCTCAGAAAAATCTGTTCTCAAATTATTCAGGTATATATTTACTCATGTTTATAAAATTTAAATCGATTTTGTTGAAGTGAAATAACATTTTGTGATGTACTTGTACAAATTAAGGTGAAGGTAGGAAAACACTATTGAGCACGCATGTGTACACAAAATAATAACATAGTTAATATTACACAGTATACAGAATGGAAGAATGAACCATGGTCGGTCATAAGAATCATCCTCTAATAGTGCATAAAATTGGAACTACTTAGAATCCTTGTGTTCTAGTTTTGACAACATCAGAACAGTGTCTCATTAAGGTAGTGATGCAATTCAAAAGTAAACTATATAAACGTTTTGTTCCTTTGCTTCTTCGTGAGTATTAATAAACCCGATATAATTTTTGCAATGACTGTGTGTACCATGTGTACCAAAGAATGATTTGAAATGCTTTATCAGAACAGAGATCTATCCAGAATGAGTACAGTTACTCCATGTACATCTGTTTAGAGGGACGAAACAGGACTTTACAGAGAAGGCTCTATCCAGTATAATATAACAAGCTTCCAATAAAAAAAGTAGGAAACTTCCACAAAAGAATCCAGTATCGATTACGGCATTGTTGAAATTCAACATTCAACATTTTTGTCGTCTTCTGAAATAAATAGTGAATTATGTATAATGTTCTAGAATGTTAACACCTGTGTATTTGTATTCGAAATCCAATATGAAACTGCCATAGATTCCAACGGTGATAGTAGTCCTCTCCATAATTCTGACGAAGATAACCCACCTTCTGGAATCTTGTGTCTTTCTAGGGACCTTCTTGAACTCGTTATGGCATTAGGTTTACTCCATCTCATAAATAATTTGCAAGGCGGATTTCTAGTACGTAGTTAGATGACTTTCTCACTGTTCTATGAAACAGGTTCCATCCATTTCATCAACCATTTATGTCAAATGTGGCCTTCACTGTTTGATAAAACAGATGTCCTCCATTTTATTATCCATTTTCAAGGTGGATTTTGAATATGTCAGATGACTTCCTTACTGTTTTATAAAAAGTGTTTCCTCAATTTTATCAATCAATTTCAGGACGGATTTTGAGTATGTCAAATGTGATCCTCACGGTTTTATAAAACAGGTTTCTTTCATTTTATCAACCATCATCATGTCAGATTCTGAGTTTGTCAAATGTAGTCCTAACTGTTTTATAAAACGTGTTTCCTCCACCACATCAATCAATTTTAGGGTGGATTTTTAATATGTCGAATGTGGCCTTCACTGTTCAATAAAATATATTTTCTCTATTTTATTAACCATTTCCAGGGTGGATTTTGAGTATGTCACATGACTTACTTACCGTTTTATAAAACGTGTTTCCTCAATTTTATTAACCAATTTCAGGACGGATTTCGGGTATGTCAGATGTGGTCCTCACTGTTTTATAAAATAGGTTTCTTTCATTTTTTCAACCATTTCCATGTCAGATTCTGAGTTTGTCAAATGTGGCCCTAACTGTTTTATAAAACGTGTTTCCTTCATCACATCTATCAGTTTCATGGCGGATTTTGAGTATGTCAGATGACTTTCTCTCTGTGTTATGAAACAGGTTTCATCCACTCCATCAATCATTTCAATGGCAGATATTGAGTAGGTCAGATGTGATTCTCACTGTTTTATAAAACAGGTTTCTTTCATTTTATCAACCATTTCCATGTCAGATTCTGAGTTTGTCAAATGTTGTCCTAACTGTTTTATAAAACGTGTTTCCTCCATCACATCTATCAGTTTCAGGGCGGATTTTGAGTATGTCAGATGACTTTCTCACTGTTTTATGAAAAACGTTTCATCCATTTCATCAATCATTTCAATGGCAGATATTGAGTAGGTCAGATGTGGTCCTCACTATTTCATAAAACAGGTTTCCTTCATCTCATCGATCATTTCCAAGGCAGATTTCGAGTATGTCAGATGTGGTCCTCCATTTTTCATAAAACAGGTTTCCTTCATCTCATCGATCATTTCCAAGGCAGATTTCGAGTATGTCAGATGTGGTCCTCCATTTTTCATAAAACAGGTTTCCTTCATCTCATCGATCATTTCCAAGGCAGATTTCGAGTATGTCAGATGTGGTCCTCCATTTTTCATAAAACAGGTTTCCTTCATCTCATCGATCATTTCCAAGGCAGATTTCGAGTATGTCAGATGTGGTCCTCCATTTTTCATAAAACAGGTTTCCTTCATCTCATCGATCATTTCCAAGGCAGATTTCGAGTATGTCAGATGTGGTCCTCCATTTTTCATAAAACAGGTTTCCTTCATCTCATCGATCATTTCCAAGGCAGATTTCGAGTATGTCAGATGTGGTCCTCCATTTTTCATAAAACAGGTTTCCTTCATCTCATCGATCATTTCCAAGGCAGATTTCGAGTATGTCAGATGTGGTCCTC